TACCCACTGAGGCCAGGTGACTATCATGAGGTCAGTGGCAGATAGAGTGGATTGTGCCATTTGGTGATGCTCCAAAAGTAGAAGTCTGGAAGGCATTGTCAGGGGCCTGGTAAGCGGGCATTATTTTCTGTTCCATTTTGTTCCATGGTATGGTTTTTGTTTACACTATTTCTGGTATCTTGCTGTATTTATAATTTGTTCTTTGTTTCAACAAGTATATGCTGTGGCTTCTTTCATTTGGATAACTGTATATAAAATGTAACTTCACTTTTGTTGAAATTAAACAATGCCCCCTAGATGATCAATTTACATTGTAAGGATGTTTTAACAAACCTTTTCGCAGAGTCCTACCTGTTTCTGCTCTGATGAAAGAGCTGTTGTTGTCTGCAAAGTGAATCTGAATGGGGGTGACTTTTTAATTTTTAATCAGCTGATGCACTGGAGGTTTTCTAAAGAAGAAACTTACAGTGTTATCATCGCTTGTAGAAGTGATGAACCCTTTTGGGGTATGTCACCAAAAATGAAATTTGCCTAAAATCTGACTTATATATTACTGCAGACTTCTAAAAACTTCAGTGAGCCAATCACACAAGCAGGAAATGACATTTCTGGGGAAGTTCTGTATGCTAACTATGTACAGAAGGCCTCCAGGTTGCCATATTTTATTGAATTTTACTGAAAATTGCAGTGCTGCAGATTGAAAAGGAAAGGTCATTACAATACGGATTGTGTAGCAATTGTATATGCTGTATTATTTTTTATTTGCTATTTTGGAAGTGAAATTATCATTCAAACTATTTACAGCATCCAGTGTGTTTATTTCTAGGTAGATATGAAGAGGCCGTTTGGCCCTACCGCAGGTCATGAGGCTTAACTCATATGACACTAAGCAGCTTTTGATTATCGCCCACACAAGAACTCTTTATAGTTTAAGTTCCTGTCAGATGAGAACAAAAATAAATTAAGCATCAAACGGTAGGTCAGCTGTTGTCCTTGTGTGCTTCTTTTTTTTTTTTTTTTGTTTCTTCTGGTTTTTAGATGTGACCTCTGTGGAGGTAACCATCATGTTCACAAGAGCTGTATTGTCATGCATTATACATTAATCTTATAGTAGAATACACTTCCAGTGCACCAATAATAAATCTTACTCATTTTGCAACCAGCAGCTGTTCTACATAAAACAAAATGCATATTTAGTAAACATTTTAAAGTGGTGGTAAAGGCTCTAAAAAAATGCCATAATGTGCTAGTATGTACCACATACTTGCACATTATGATAGATTTACTTATAAAGTGGATCCCTCCAGCGGCCTGCTGTCACCACTGAGAAGGCTTCCATCTTCACCCAGTCTTCCTTCTGGGTTCATGCACTCCAGCCGTATGAGTGGCCGGGCCACTATGACGTCATTCCCTCGCGTGTGTGTGTGAGTTATGATCGTGGCACAGCGCTCCGGCATTAAGAGTGCAGTGCACATGCCCTGGTGGTGTCATGGGCTGCAACAAATGTGAAAATCTCCGAAACGGTGCATGTTTAGCTGATATTCACTGTATCTACAATATAGGTACTGTAGGTACAAGTAAAAAAGCACACTTTACTACAATTTAAGCATCAGTTAAAATATGTAAATTGTTAACATCCAGAAAATAATAAACATCAACATAGCATTGGAAAAGCATGGAGACTGTCATTTCTGAACGCCCTTTCTGAAAATGCTAATTACCTGACTATTTTACTGGCCCTCTTACTTTCAGAGTTTTTGAGTTACTGACTCAAAACAGGTATGTATATAAAGATATTAGGACAAAATTAATAGTACTGCAGCACTACCCCCTTAGGAGCTGCTGTGCATTTGGGTCCCCCTATGGTTCTGGACAGCCAAGCAACATGCAATTTCCCAGAGTTGCATTCCAGAGACAGTAAACAGTCCTTGAGCTTGTTTTTTTTTTTTATTAGGAGTATTGAATTTGGATGGGGTAAGGGATATATGGAATGCCCATTGAACAGCAAACTGAGGTTAACTTCTTGCCAACTATGCACAAGTCTTTTTACAGGAAAAAGGTCTTTCTTAGAGCCTCTCTCCAGCCTCTCCTAGTGTACGACCCCAGACCCCAGATAAATCATCTTCTCATCCAGCTTTCTGGAGGAAATCCCTGGGCAAGAGGATCCAGTGCCTGCCACTTTAAGTTGAAACAGTCTCGGGTAAGGAGCTAGTCAGGTTTCCCACCAAAATGCCCTTTCCCCTTAATCAGCCCAGGGGTTGTAGGATTACATACTCTTCCTCTCCTGTGTGCTTTGTGGGTTGGTGGCTGCCTTCAGGCCTTCTGCTGGGCTGGCTCCTTCCCTACTGCACAGGTGGTCCTCTCTTAAGGGACACCCGAGGTTGAGTGGCCCTCCATTCCAGCAGCTCTGCCTAGAGGTAGGCCCCTTCCCACTGAGCCCCCTTCCAGGCTCCTGCGTCTTGTCCTCTCACATCTTCTGCCTAAACTCTCCTGCTGCTGAGCAGGCTCAGTCATACTTAGGGCTGTCCTAACCCCATGCCAAGCCTACTGCCTGGGGATTGATCAGACTCACCCAAGTATGCAGGTTAGCCCCTCCTCAACCCCACCCACTGCTTCTAGAATCTTCTCCAAGAATCTAGAGCAGGGGAGTGTATCAAGGCACTGATCTGCACAGCCTGTCAGCTCTGACCCAAATTTCACCCTGTTGACTATTCCCAGGCTGCTGCTCAGCCTTTCTCACTAACAATTAGCCACTAGGTCCCACTGGTGCTACAGTATGTTGCATTACAGGCATCAAGTGAAGGCAAGAGGATCAGTGTGGAGGGGAAGGCACTGGAGGTGAACAAGAGGAGAGGGGGATCTTGATTGGGGATAAGGTTATCAATATGAGGGAGTGCACCCCCCACTCCTTCAATGCCCCTGCACCCTACACATAATTGTGTGTATTTACAGAAGTATTTATTACATTGATGGTTCAGTAACATTGTATGACCCATTCCCCAGATCAACCAACCATCACCTGTTCTCTACCCCATTCATCAATTTGGCTGTTATTAAAGTGATACCACTGTCTCTTCAAGGAACCACTGTGAGAGGGAACTGATGTGTGAGCATTATTGTGGTGCTTACTGATTGATCTGGGTTTTTGTCATGAAGGTGAGGCAGCCTTAAAGATGGAGGCTCAAGAGAAATTGTATCTCCCCCTTACGCTTAAACTATATCTATAAGCAAAACCTTTATTTTTAAGTTTTGGATTGTGTGGGTAAGGATTGAACCCTCTGTCAAGTTTTATTGCTGTCTGTGTCACCACTGGAAAGACTGGCCACTCTGTCCTGATAAATAATGTCACCAAGACAAAAAGTCAGAAAAACTGAAAAAGCGGCAATTCTAAATTGCTATGGGCAACCCTAACAATTTTGTATTTCCTCTCTTTCTGTTTTTTTGAACAAAAGGTAAGGGGAAATATTTCAATGAGAACAGAGGTTCCTGGGACAACTGTCTAAGAAGGGAATTCCCCTCACTTTGACAAATTTCCTCTAACTTCCAATTGTGTTTCTAGACAAGTGAAAGGAATTTTCCCCAATTGTATACACAGAGAAAAAAATAAACTGGCTGGAATTGTAATCCTTCCATGTTCTCTATGGATAGAGGTAAAATTTCTGTCAGGTTTTCAATTCTGCTTTTTATCCCAGTGGGGGGTTTTCCCTCATTTGCTGTTCCTGTGACACCTAGAGGAGAAACAGGGGTAATGTTGTGATCAGGAAAGGCAGAGGCAGTAATTAAAACATTGTCAGATGTTCTAGCCCTTCCTCATGCTACTAAAAATTAGTTGAAGCTGCAGTTTTTTTCATTCAACTCCAGTAAAAAAAAAAGAACTGGCAAATCCCCGCATCCACACAAGTGATGTAGATGCAGTAAACTCTCCCACCACGCTAATGTATTTTGAAAGCAGGGACTGCCCCCTGTCAGCCATTGTCCCAAGCGCTGATCGAATGCTGGTTTTCCAGCTTAACTGTTTATCTAATGACTGGCTTCTGTGAGAGGAGTAGTACACACATATTGAAATACACACATATTGAAAGTCAGCTGACTTTCAGTACGTGTATACCTGGCTTAACAAGTGTAATAATATTGTTTAAAATACCACTTCTAGTCTAGTGGCAAATTATGCATGGCCCATAAGTCATTGGAAGAACACTGCATTCAGCAAACCATATTTTTATATTAATTTTATAGATGTATATTGTATATACAGTATATATTATAATCAGCCTATTATACGAGGTGCGACAATTGATTTCCTGTATTGGACCGGTAAAAACCCAAACTCTTCTGCATTATTTGCTGGAATCTTTCTCATTCCCAAATTCTTCATTAGAATCTGCCACACTGTTTCCCTGTTCATGTTCAGTTCTTCTGCTATTATTTTGCACACTCAGTCTTTGATCTGAGCATATGAGGGTTCACACTCCTTAAACAGTCTATGCTATACAAAAACACTTGATTTCTTCATGGAATGTTCACCATAAACCTATTGTAACAGAGCTAAAGATTTACTCTCACTTTTGCCAATTTTCACATAAAATTTGATGTTAATCTACTGCTCCAGATTCCTGTCAGTCATTTTCCTCCAACAGTGCAACACGCAAACATGTTATTTCTTCTACTACTCCGTAAAGACTGAGTCAACTGGTCTGCGAGTGTTGATTAGAACATGTCAGAACTTGCATTTGTGTGTGTGTAACAGTAAGTATAACATGTTTAATTCCAACATTTATAAACACTTTAAGGACTCTGTGCAGGAAAGATCAGCATCTGAACACAGAGGAGCTGTATGCTGATAGACTGGAGGTAAATTAAGGAATTACAATTAAATTTAAAGTATATTTAAAATTATTATACTATATTTCCAAAAGTATTGGGCCAGCCCTCCAAATCATTGGATTCAGATGTTCCAATCACCTCCATGGCTACAGGTGTATACAATCAAGCACCTAGGCATGCAGACTGCTTCTACAAACATTTGTGAAAGAATGGGTCACTCTCAGGAGTTCAGTGAATTCAAGCATGGTACCGTGATAGGTTGTCACCTGTGCAATAAGTTCATCCGTTAAATTTCCTTGCTACTAAATATTCTACAGTCAACTGTTAGTGGTATTATAACAAAGTGGAAGCAACTGGGAACAACAGCAACTCAGCCAGGAAGTGGAAGACCACATAAAATGACAGAGCGGGGTCAGCGTATGGTGAATTGCACAGTGCACAGAAGTCACCAACTGTCTGCAGAGTCAATAGCTAAAGACCTCCAAACCTTGTATGGGCTTCAGAGTAGCACAACAGTGCATAGAGAGCTTCATGGAATAGGTTTCCATGGCCAAGAAGCTGCATCCAAGCCTTACATCACCAAATGCAATGCAAAGCATCGGATGCAGTGGTGCAAAGCATAATACCACTGGACTCTAGAGCAGTGAATATGTGTTCTCTGGAGTGACGAATCACACTTCTCTGTCTGGCAATCCAATGGACGTGTCTGGGTTTGCCTGCTGCCTGGACAATAATACTTGCCTGCATTGTGTCAAGTGTAAAATTTGGTGGGTGGAGGGGATTATGGTGTGGGGTTGTTTTCAGGGGTTGGGCCTGGCCCCTTAGTTCCAGTGAAGGGAACTCTTAAGGCATCATCATACCAAGACATTTTGACAATTTCTTGCTCCCAGCTTTATGGGAACAGTTTGGGGATGGCCCCTTCCTGTTCCAACATGACTTCCAGTGCACAAAGCATGATCCATAAAGACATGGATGAGCGAGTTTGGGGTGGAGGAACTTGACTGGCATGACCTTAACCTGATAGAAACACCTTCGGGATGAATTAGAGTGGAGACTATGAGCCAGGCCTTCTCATCGACATCAGTGCCTGACCTCACATGAGCTTCTGGAAGAATGGTCAAACATTCCCATAGACACACTCCTAAACCTTGTGGACAGCCTTCCCAGAAGAGTTGAAGCTGTTATAGCTGCAAAGGGTGGGCCAATTCAATACTGAACCCTACGGACTAAGACTGGGATGCCATTAAATTTCATGTGTGTATAAAGGCAGGCGTCCCAATACTTTTGGCAATATATTGTGGATATATATAAATATACTACATAGTACATTTATTAAGCATGATGCTAAATGTCTGATCAATGGAGCACAGAGGCTCAGAGTGACAGAATAAATTAATAAATAAATACATAAATAAATAAGATCAATAAATGAATGATACAATTGGTCAATAAAAAAAAAAAACTTCGACAATAAGTATTTCATGAATCCAATTAATAAAAATATATAGAGTATTTAGCTAGGTCCTGTTTTTGGTGCCAAGTTTATATGCCCCGATTCGGTACACCACAACTGTTTTGCCAGAACATAGCTTTTCCTGTAACATCTCCACAGCTGTTAAGCGCTTGAAATTGCAGTGATTCTGCATGTTTCCATAACTGACAGTGTCATCCACTGATGCATAGCTATGGCTATTATTACTGTCAGTGGAATCTGATGAATTATTTGCTGGAAATATGAGTACCAGTTACATACAGTACTGAGCAAAGCTATGGAGGCTGCATGACCGTAGGCCCACAGAGCAGCTGAATCTAGGGCTTGGTGGGCTTGTCGGCATGTTGCAACACGCTAACACCACAGTCCTCTATTTAGAATGGCATTTAGTACACACCTAGCATGAGTGATAATCAGCTACACTAGAGGAAGAATGCAAACATAGAAATCAAATGACAAGATAAAGGACCAGCAGCTTTTCTCAGGAAGTAAGTGGGAGTTACAGTTCCTTATAAAGATAAATGTAACATCCCTCGTGTGTAATGTGCAGAAAAGAATGAACTTTTAGATGTAGTATCTAAATGTAGGTAAGGGTATGGTATGCAAGCACTTATTAACCTGTGCTTATATATCAAGGTACCATGACTGTTGTTCAAGAATAAATTTGTAGCAAAAGCTATGCACAACACATGTATCAAGCTCGTCTTATTAATGACAAGTAAAAGTTCAGAAGATTTTTGCAGTCCTGTATGGATGTGGAAAACCATGAGTTTTATTTTTTAAGAAAAAATTTTTTTTAAGAGATATAGGATAAAGTTACCATCTCTTTTCATGCTTTGTTACACCTCAGTGCTGCTAATCTCCTGGTTCCACTTTGCGCCACTTCTTGTGTACATGCACTCCAGTGATGTCTGCATGGTGTTTCTCAGAATGGGGTTTTCTGATGGTGACCACAATACAAAATGCCTTGATTTTTTGTTTTAAAAATGGTGGGGGAGAAATTATAATTCTTGAAAAATGTTTTTCTCTTTAACTAGTCTTCAACTTTAACTAGTCTTTAACAGTCCCTTTATACATGTAGTACAATGACATTTGCAGACAAGTGAAGGAAGATTTTTTTAATATGCTTTAGCCTTTACCCCTGTTTCCTTAAAGTGGTAAAAAAAAAAGCCTAAATATTCTTTACCTTAATGCATTCCCTGTGCTGTGCCTGTCTGTAGAGGCTTTCTGCAGTCTATCAGGCTTTGCCATTGGCTCCTGCTGCTGTTAGTGAAATCCTGTGTCGAAGGAGCGGGGCCTTGCCACGCTGTCTGTGTCAATGGATGCAATTAGCGTGGCTCGGGATCAAGCCTGCAGGTATGCCACTATAGAAAACAGCTAAGAAGAGGAGCCAATTTCACTTTACCATAACTGTAACATGGTGTTGTGGTATGATTATGGCACATATAAAAATTGTTTTCTATGTGCTTTTGCATTTAGCCTGTGTTGATCTGTGCCTAATTATGCACATGGAGTGAATGAGCCCTTCATTTTATTACAAATTAATTAAAGCTAAACTCCAGCTGTTGATTTGATTGCATAGTTACATTGGTTCAGCTTGGTCCAATATAAGCATACATATTCTTTACCTGTGCGATCCATGTGTAAGCTGGAAATCACAATAGTAATTTCTGCTACTACAGTGATTGCTGCTGCCCACCGGGTCCCGTGCCTGGCAATCAATGCAAGGCAAAATCTGATTGAACAAGGTGGAGAGGTGGGACAGGGGCAGCACAATCTCTACCTCACCCAATCACAGAACGTGGCATTCAGATTTCAAACATTATGACATTGAAGATCTAGTTTTCTAAAACATATTATGATTTCTTTTAACTCAATCTGCATGACCAAATTTGCAGAACAGCTAGATTTGTGTCTTTGTAACTGCAGATCACAAGAAATAAAAAGATACTTACTAAAGCATAGCTACAGTACATTGTGATGGAACTGGTGCTGTTGCATAAATATAAAATGCAGAAAAAAAAGAAGAGTACATCGAAGCAGAAACTTAGTAATCCATAACTACAGTTAGATACCGCAATAAGTGAAAGAAATAGAACAGTCCTTAAAAGCACACATTTCATATTTGTTATCTGCTTTCACAGGAAGTGAGATACATTGCCTCTCTACCTTCCAGTTTCATAAAATGGCTTTGAAAAAGTTATATAACTGCAATGTAAACTACAGATCACTAATATCGTGCTTAGGTTTATTTGAACTAATTCTCTGTTTTAATGACATGTCAATAGCTGACACTTAATTTAAAGATTGCTGTTGCTGACTAAATGCTACCTAAGATCTGGCACTTAGCATGTTTTCTCAGAGGGGCCATTACATAAATAGGATGTGAGACAATATAAACTGATGATCTCACCATTACTAACAGGCAAGTAATTTTGCAATGCTGGGCCTTTCAGTGTTTAAAACGCAGGCTTGCTCGCTGGACCAAGAAAGAACCCTTTCTGAACCAGAATGTGTTGCAAATCAGAATTCCAGGTATGGTGTTTTTACATATTGGTCCAGCTTTAACACCACTACTCTAGTAATCTCTTCTAGTTTCCATGTCCTGTGCCAAGTGGATGCCCATTCTCTGAATGGCATTGTAATGTACCTGTAGGCAGAGCCTGAGATGACGAGGGTGGCTTCTTGCACAGTTCCCATGGCAGCCCTGGATAGTGAGACATAGACTGCAGGGATGAAAGAAAGGTAAAAATACCAAGCTGTAGGAACAGGAACTGGAGGGCGCTGGTATCTGATGAGAAGAGATACAGCTGGGGTCCTAATTATAGGGGCAGTACTAGAAGCTAAAAGATCTTTCAGTCTTTCCAAACCCCTCCCACTAGCCAGTTGTATCCTACAGTACAGGGCATAAATTCCCAAACTGTGCTCCAGGTTTGGGTGACACTGTCTCTTTAAAGCAATATTAAACACTGTTTAACTGACATTATCTCTTATGTTTCTGTATGTGGATGATGGTACTGTACTTATAAATTATAATAATGTATAATATTAATTAAAAAAATGTAAGTACCTTTTTCCTAATCAATATACAGGTGTCACATGACCCAGATCTTTTCCCAGTCTGTCTGCAGGGAAACAGTGGCAGGAGGAACTTCTAGTTCAAAATAAAAAAAAAACAACCTTTGGGATACAGAATAAAAATAAATCATTAATATCAATATTGTTATAAACATGTTATGCAATGTAACAATTATTCTTTATTAAACTCTACCCTAATTTGCTCATATCAGTGTAGAAGGAGGCTGGGGGCAGACTGGCCATGGATACATCAGTCTCCACCGACACCTGGCTCACTGTTCCATCCCGCAAGTGATCTTCTGTGAGCATCAGGGGTATTATTTGGGCTTCTACCCCTTCCGCCAAACTCCTAGGGGGAGAAATACCTCCTATGCGAAAAGGGTTCTGGCGTAAAAGGCCTACAGCTAGTAGAAAAAGATATAGAGAGAAAAAGAGAGAGCAGAGAGAGAGAGAGAGAGAGAGAAAAGAGAGAAATGAAAAAAAAAGGGGGGGGGGGGGATTGGGATGGGAGAGAAATAAGGGGAGTGGGGGGCAACCCTCTTCAGCATCCTAACCCCGCAGGAAGGAAGTATGCTGTGGGACAGATATCATGTACAGTGGGGCAAAAAAGTATTTAGTCAGCCACCAATTGTGCAAGTTCTCCCACTTAAAAAGATGAGAGAGGCCTGTAATTGGCATCATAGGTAGACCTCAACTATGAGAGACAAAATGAGAAAAAAAATCCAGACAATCACATTGGCTGGTATGGAAAGACTTTATTTGCAAATTATGGTGGAAAATTAGTATTTGGTCAATATCAGAAGTTCATCTCAATACTTTGTTATATATCCTTTGTTGGCAATGACAGAGGTCAAAAGTTTCCTGTAAGTCTTCACAAGGTTGGCACACACTGTTGCTGGTATGTTGGCCCATTCCTCCATGCAGATCTCCTATAGAGCAGTGATGTTTTGGGGCTGTCGCTGGGCAACACGGACTTTCAACTCCCTCCAAAGGTTTTCTATGGGGTTGAGATCTGGAGACTGGCTAGGCCACTCCAGGACCTTGAAATGCTTCTTACGAAGCCACTCCT